GCACACTGTCTAATATACATATGCAGGTTTTAGCTAGGGGGTTTTATATTGTATATATAAAGGGCTAGCTAAATATACCCTAAAGGTGTCGGGCTCATATATATATATATATATATGTGTGTGTGTGTGTGTTGCACAATGTAGTTAGGTGTCTCTGTTTAAGTTTATGTGTAGCAGCACGACTCTTAGACTCTAAAGACGGTGTTGCTGAATTCTGTCGCGAAGCCTGTAGTGGACCCCAATCCGCTGCTTCGACTCATCCCAAGTGTATGTTTCCACAGCATTGTGAGCCAAGTGCTCCTCAATGATGCAGAAAGGGTTAGCGTTCTAGTGCCTTCAGTGATTTAGGGCTTGCAGGGTCTTGGGCTGGGCTTGCCATGCAGTGGGACGCAGTCTGCGGCCGAGATGCATTTACAAGCTTGACAGGGATGTGGGCCTGGCAGCTCGGCCAAGAGCGAAGCTACGAGAGAATTTGAAGGGTTTAGGGGGCTTCAAACAGGGAAGCGGTTTGGAGTGCAATGTCTTGGCGATTCTTGTGTGCGCCGTTTGCAGCAAAGACGCAAGTACATACCAGGACCCCATAAAGCGCTTCAAATCGAGTTTCCGGTCCTGAGCAGATCACACAGGGATACCCAATACAGCATGGTGGCAAGCATAAAGACACGCTAATATACACATTTCCGGAAACATAACTGTAAGTACCCGAAAGCTTTCCTGCAGAAAAGAACTTCTACAGCCGGGCATCCATGGCTTGCAGCTCGACAAGGGCGAGCCTGAAAACCAGATTCTTGGTTGAGGCTTTGGGGTTTAGGGGTTTAGAGTTTGGGAGTTTAGGGAGTTTAGGCTTTAGGGTTTTCGGTGGCTCTTGGATCCGAAAAGTTTGGGGATTTCATGGGATTTAGGATGCAAGGCCCGGGCCTGGACTTGCCGAGGCCCATGAAGATTCCCAGCCTCGGGTCACGAGCTGAATCCGAAGCTTTGCTGGGCCAAAGAGGCAGACATGAGAAACGGAAAACACAGAGGCAGAACCCCCAAACCTACTAAACCCAAAAACCCTAAACCCTAAACAACAAAATCTGCTGGAGAAAAAGCGTCGAATCGGGAAGCCTTTTCCTGCTCAGGACGCTTTGATTTCCGGGCCGGAAAGCAACGACGATCTGCCAGTTGCGGCTTCTGTGCTCCATAAAAGGAAAAGGTGCGTTGCGGGTGCTCATCTTGTTTACCTGCTGCCTGGGGCTTGCTTCCCCTTCTTCTTCACATTGGTCCTGTGCGCGATTCCGACTTCAGGCTCTGCTACCGAAACACATTGCCGCGACCACAGCAGCGCCAAGAATGCGTCGGCGCGCCATGGCAACTAGTCGAATTTCCTTGGTGTCTTTCACACCTTTCGTGTCTTGCTGGAAGTAGCTGGATCTTTTGAATCGCCTGCAGTTGACCGAGTTTCATGGAGTGCAGACTTGAACCTCATACTGCGGATTAGCACCAGTGTACTTTTCCGGAGTCCAGGCATCGAATCCAGAGTTCAGGTCTCCACAGGTCTCCAGCGGCTTTGCCTTGACCCGCCCCAGCACAGAAGCACTCCTCCACACTGAGCTGCACGGACAGGCGAGCTTGCAGCCGCTCCCGCAGCCGAGCCTTATCGCGACTGCACGGTTGAGCTAAGCGACAAACCCTTCGAAGGACCTCATCCTCGTAGGATACCTTTTCTGCTTGGTCCGAGCAGCAATGTCCAGCGAATCCAGGCCCATTTCTGCCAGCGAAGCCGACTGGGTTCGTAACGCTGCAAAATCTGCGTTTGCAAACCAAATGCCATGCACGACTTACCTGGAATAGGAAGGATGCGTGCAGCGTCGGGCAATGACCTGCTGATACCTGCTGACAAGCGTCCTGGCTGCCTGCTTCACCAAAGTCCAGCAGAAAGGACTCCACCACAGCTCGCGCATCTGCGCGCTGCAGATTCGAGCCACCTGACTTGGTACCACTTCGTGGCCGAAACTCTGAGCCCCAAACCACAACAGCCTAAACCCGAAGCCTAAGCACTAAACCCGATAACCCTAAAGCCCTAAAGCCCCAAACCCCTGCCTTGAAAGCAAGATGTAGCCAGCTCGCGAGCGGTCGCGGCTGCCGCATCTCCGTGGAGGCCGAAGCGCTTCCTGAAAAACGCAAGGCCACATTATGACATTGAGAGCATCGTTCGAACAGCAAAAGAAACGACAAAAGGTAGATGCAGAACAGTACCCCTTTCAATCTGTGGTATTTGTAAGAATGACGGCAGATCAATAATAACAACAATGCTTGCTATGCGGTTTAACGGAGGTACTCAACACTGCGCCGTAGTGCTGCAAGCTCCAGTGAGTCCAGGCCAAGCTCTGCAAAGTCCGCATCCTGGCTTATGGTTTAGGGAGTAGGGTAACCGGGTACCTTGACCTTAAACCCGGCAAGCCCCAACGGTGTGGCCTGTGAGCCCAGTAAACCCCCTGCAGGCCCAAAGCAAAGAAGAAAAACGTTACACTAAACCCTACCAGCCCCAAAGCCCCAAATCCTAGACCCAGACGGCCTTAGGTTGGATGTTCATTTTGGCCAGCTGCTCGTGGACGAAGGCTTCCACTGTGTCGACCGTGGCTTCCTGCCACCCCCGTCCAGCGGTGCTACTATATCTGCCATAACAAGATGTGTACCAGTACGCCGACGACGACGACGACGACGACGACGACGGCTCCTTGTTACAGTGCCCTTGTGATTTCTGCTTTGGAGTTAGCGGTGTGAACACCATTGCGACACTCATTGTCCATCACTATCGATGCTGTACCGGTCGTTACAGTATTGGCGTTGACGGCATGCCGCGCTTACAGGCTCTTACGCTTTACCAGGGTCCACTAAGCAGAAGCAGACGGGGAGCCTGAAGAAGAAAGGCTCCATTCTTACTGGAAACTGTACTATGCATCACACAGGTTGCGATGGTTGCTATAGTGTTTGCTGAGTGGCCATTTCCGGAGATGTTGATGTCTGCAAAGCAAAATTTCGCTGCATCATCGTCGTCGTAGCCATCGTCATTATTATCCAAGTCGTCATCGTCATTGTCGTCACACTCAGAGTCTTCATCACTGTTATCATGTTCATCAGCGTCATCTTGAACGCCATGACTGCCATTGGTGCCGTCCTCAGTCTTATGACTACTGTACGTACCTCTGGTATAATCATGAGTCCAACTATTGTTCGTACTGCTCCGATTTGGCTTTGGGGTTCAGGGTCTAGTCAGAGATTAAGATGTCAGAGCGACAATCACAACCTGCGATCTGCAACTGGAGCATCCTGGCTTTCTCGAGATGCGACGCGGCGCTCCCGTTGGGGCCTCTGACGCTGAACGGGGAAGGACTCTGTCAGTCAGCAAGCAGGACTGGAAACAGTCGTCGTAATCACAGTCATGTCAAAAAGGCAAGACCTGCCCGGCTCGTAGCGAATAAGCACGGCAGCACCTGACAGGTCACAGGCAGTCAGCCAAACTCCGAATGAAGACTCTGCACAGTGAGCCCGATACACCGCTCATGGCTATGATTCATGAATATCCGCTAATTCCTCTGTGTTAAGCTTCTGGCCTTGGTTTGCCACGTCCGCCGGCCGAGCGTCATGGACCAGCTTGACGACCGCGGCACCACGCTGGGTATGAAAGGCCAGAACCTGTCAGTGGCAAAGGCGAAAAAACACATTTGCATCCTTCAACTATGCCTACGTCTATTCACATGAAATACATGTGTGTGTGTGTGTGTGTGTGTGTGATTGTGTGTGTGTGTGTATGTGTATATATATATATATTTATATTTATATTTATATTTATTTAACAGATATATATATATATATATGTACACACACAGACACCCACTTGCACGCGCGCAGACACACCCGCTTACATTATGACATCTTTTTTTTATGTAGGAAGACTGAAGAAGCCAGTTCCTGTATGTTCCTCCGGCCGGCATGCATGCGGGGACGCAGAGCCCGCAAGATTGCTCAACCACTGCTAGCTAATCCTGCTGCTCAATCTCCCGATCATAATCACAAGCAAGTAATACAAGTACAACGGCGAAAATCACACCCCTGCTTCGAAGATGGTGACTTAAAACTGTTCGAGACGTGCACGCGCACACACATCCTCCTCCGGCCTTGTCCGAAACTTCGCCTTCGAGATGCCTCCTGCGATGCGCACGCCGAGTTTGCAAATGCGATTGCTCCACGCCGACAGTCACGACTCTCTAATCGGAATACCCACACGTCCGCCTCATGTAGTCTTCTTGACCTAGGTTGTAAAAGCATGGCGGAGAAACGCTAATGCAAAGCCAGTGGAATTGAGCGGCTCAAGCCGCTAGCTGCCCAACCATCGAAGCGCGTCAGCCCCACCACAGACTTGACCTTGCCAGTCTAGGATCAGGGTTGAGGGGGTTTGGTGTTTCGCATTTAGGTCTCAGGTGATTCGGCTTTCTTTAATCGCACCTTCTCTCTTGGGTTTAGGTCATGTCTTGCAAACTGGGCCCTGTTCTCTTCTGGAGGAACCACAGTCGAAGCAAGCACACAAAAGGCTCTGCAGAAGAGCGTCATCGGGGTCCACCCAAGCCAGCTGGAGAAGAAAGTCACGCAACCTGGTGCCGAAAAGATGAGAGTTTGCAGCTTCCTGGTATCATGTTTCATTCTTTCGGAGCTCTGTTGCAGAAACTCAAGAAACAGTATCCAATTCTCAAAGAGCAGTGTCGTCCGGGTGGCAGCGAGCCGACTCCTGGCGCCTGGAGGCATTGCATCAGCTGGGAAGTTGGTGGCTGACATCTTTACGGAGCTTCGCGGACCGTGTGAAGAGCGTGCCTCCGGAAGTGCGTGCAGCGCGACGAGTTGTAGCCTCGGCCGTGTTTCGCTGGACCAAGAGCGCCGGGAAACTCTCCGCCGAGCAACACGTCGCCGTGATCAGCACTGGGCTGCGAAGGCTCGGCTTCGATTCCGCTGATGGCAGGGCCAAGGCAGCGAGTCGTATATGCGGCCTGGACTTGTAGCAATTGCATTGCATACGGTAGCTTCCTCATGCAAGTGACCTGACCACTTGATTCACATCTTGCCAACCAGCATTACCAACGCTCTTGCTGCTGCGACTAATATTTCTCGAATGTCTTGTGTACTACATGTATTGGCACTGTGAGCAAGGACCTTACACATGCTGCTATGCGTATATTCGTAGTGGTTCTCGAACCAACTCGCGATGCCAATCCCTAAACCCTAAACCTTAAACCCTAGACCCTGATCCCTAAACCCTAAACCTTAAACCCTAAACCCTGATCCCTAAACCCTGAACCCTGATCCCTAAACCCTAAGCCGACCAAGAGGCCCCGAGCAGCTTCCCCGCGCGCTCCGCGACGAGCACGCCAAGGGGTGCCTTAAGGAGGCGCCCGGCCAGCGTCTCCGGAGAGGCCTTTCGGGTTATGCAGGGGCTTTTTAGGGTCTAGGGGTTTTTGTTTAGGGTTTTTTTTTGGGGAGGGTCTAGGGTTTTTTAGGGCTTAGGGCTTTAGGGTTGTAGGGTTTGGGGCTTAGCAGCGGCGCGATGTCCACACAGGATCATATCTGTAAATGTGTCAAGCTTATGGTCATGTGCATGTTTGTCGCACGAACAGAAGAGCAGTTGCCTCCAACGCTGACGTGACCTCCGGCAGCGAAAGAAATATCAGCGTCAACGCATTCCATATGCTCAGAGAGTCCAATGCCCCATGCTTGAGAAATGTTACTAGGTTCGTACACGGTTATGTAGTAGGAAGCCCTCCATTCCAATAGTCGATGGTGTATGCCTGCTGAACTGGTAGAACGCTCTCTGCATGGAATATGTTGCACCTTCGCCGCTTGCTGGAGTTCGACCAAGGCGGCCAAATCATCAAACTCGGCCAGGCGCACACAGGAGGAGGACCTGCTGTTGCCCCTTTTCGAACTAGCACAGCGACAGTGATGACAATTGCCACTGATATGAGTGCTGCAAGCATTGCGACTGTTGGATTATTTTATTACTTGAATTTCGATCGTGCCGCCACCGTTAGATAAGAAATGCTCCGGGCACCAGGATTCGAGGATTTACAGGGATGTGCAAGAAGCGTGAGATGGAAAGTCTGGGGCAGAAAGGAGGGAGCGAGTGCAGGGGAGGCGGGTCGGGTGCAACGGGTCGGGTGGGCCTTGAGACCTGGAGATCCTAAGCTGGAGGAAGTCATCGATAGGCGGATCATTCTGGCGGAGACATGTCGAAAATGGATGGTGTATGCTCTGACATGGATGTCTCGCTGCCACGAGCCTCTTGACATGCTGACTCATGATGCGGCAGTACTCGCCAGATTCCTCAGAAATTCAGGAGCAGCATTGTCGATGTGAAGTACCGCAACATGGCAGCGGCCAAGGTCCAAATCTTGTTCAAAGACAACTCCGTCTGAAAATCCCTCTTCTGCGGCTGAAGTGCAGGGTAGCAGTGTGAGCTTGCATCACCGGTGCAACTGAACAGACCTGCAGAAGCACAGAGCATCTGCACTTGCCGACATAATGCAATGGCACTCAACGCTGGCCTGCTTCCGCCAAGGCCATGCAGTTGGCAACGGGAGGAACCAAATACTGCCTGGCTCCGAGATGGGGGTTGATTGATGCCTAGACTAAGACAGGCTTCCAAAGTCTAACTCTGACATTCCTTTGTTTGGCAGCTTTGAGTGCAAACGACTGGACCCTCCTGCTGCAAGCTGGACCCGCTACGCCTCGACAAAGCCGCCTCAATGTCAAAGTGGAACGACACCTGTTTCATCTGAAACACGAGGCTTCACAGCGGCTGCTGAGCCGACAAGCGGCACAACAGACATTCTCTGACATGCAGACTGCAGTGTGATGCGAGGGGCGTTCTCATCGAAGTACTTCGCAGTGCTGGGAACGTCCAGCAGCATGGCCTGCACGAACAGCAGAGCAGCGCTGGGCCCCCCACTCAGACAATGGAATGTACTACAGTACAGTCGAACAGGAAGGAGTGTAGCCTTATTGGAATTTTCACTTGCATCCTCAAGCCAGTACAAGACACACATAGTATGTGCTCCTTGCTGTCCACCGGAAAGCTCACTCCTAGCCTCCAGAATGCAGAGACCGTGCTCACCAGAAGCATCTGCCCAGCGTCCGAAGTGCTCCACCAGAGATTGGTAGATGTCCTGGGGATGCACAACCGCATTCCGGAGTCATGCTAGGTCTAGTTCGTATGTCTTCGGGGCCTTGAAACACCCAAAGCTCTTGTGTTCATGATTCTGATGCAGAGTCTGCTTTGTTCAGCGAGGTGTCCACCGGCTTGATCACCTTGCCGCAGCGGTCAAGGTAGACCGCCTCCCAGGCAGACATCACCAAGTCAGTCTACATCCGGCTTGCAGTGGGATAATAATCTGGAAGAGCAAATATCAAAGGCCGAGCAAGAAAAAGCAAAGACCCAAACCCCCATGGCCACGAGGCCTGGTCGAAGTGATGGGCCACGAAGAGGTCGCGAGAACTGCCTTGCAAGGCAATTCTGCCACTTACCCGAAGGGCTGCGCTTGTAAGATAACATCAGCGACTATAGCAGAACACGTAATGCTCTAAATGAACGGACATATCATTGTCTTATAAGAAATGTACATACATCGTTGCATTTCTGTGTAGTTCTACATTGTATGTATATATATATATATATCCAGATTCTTACAGACAAGACGACAGATACGATAGTATGTACAAACACTCATGCCAAGACAACACAGGACAATAGACTACTACTCTTGTTGGGGGCCTGCTCGGAGAGGATGGGCGGGCATCCGGAAGGGTCGATCGTGGTCCAGGAAGGAGCGCACGTGCAACGTCTGCCTTCGAGGGTGTCGGGCTTCGGAGTTTCTTTTGGTTCGTGGGTTTAGGATTTAGGATCAGAGGTTTTCCAAAGGCTCATGCTTTTTGACTTGCGGGCCCAAAGACCAGATGTTCGTTCTATCGAGAGCCTGAGGAATCCTCAGCTTTCGCGTGGCCAGGAGTCTCTGTAGCCGACAAGGCCGATGCTTTTGAGATCTCTCAAGCGCAGGATCCTGCAGTGGGAACTGCCGTCTATCACCGCCTACTGAAAACTTGATTCATGCTTTGGCCTCGGATCCAGGTTCAAGCGCCGCAGCTCGTTGCAGAGGCCACCTGAAGAATGCTCGAAGAACAAGGCAAGGATGCGTCGCCAAAGCGATGCCAAGGTGTATATCGAGGCAACAGAGGCAAAATGCTGTCCCATACTGTCCCCAACGAATGGAGCACATCATAGCACACCAACCTGCTTCCTGCTGTGAGCTCGCGCCTGCCTGGATCTCCGATGTCACCCTCCAACAGCTGATGGGGCACACCCCTGGCGGAGCTTTGTCGGATGTGCATGACCTACGGCGCATGGTGAAGCCGATGTGTCTAGAGAACTCCAGTGGCTGACGGGTTCCTGGTAGATCCAAGTGCCGAGCATCCCCTTCGTGACGAAGGTCGTACAGGCTTAGTATAACCTATGTGGTTGTCGCAACCGTGTAGATGTGACGGCCTGGGCCTGTGCGGTGCAGGGATTGGCTAATGAAAGTCAACTGCAGCTTTGGAGGGTCTCTGCATTGTGGTTTGTCGCAAGTTGATACTTGCTATGCCGTCTGCATGCCAGAAGCATAAGAGACCTGGCACTGCCTGGAACTTACTCCCATCAAATCTGAAGCGTAAAGACTCGCTAAGTGTGCAGAACTGCAGGGCGACCACCGGGCGGCCGTGGGAATGGGACCTGTGCATGGCTTGAATACCGTGCCTTGCCCGCAGCGTGTCTGCTGTTGCAGCAAGAGCGCTTGCACTCCTCGGCATGCGAAACGAGCAAGGCATACAGATCATTGAAGTGAGGCAAAAAGCTCGGACCGTGCAAACCTCCAGCCTCTGACACAAACGCCACACGAAGCTATCTCTGGCTGGGAAACATCATGCAGATTCGATGGCACTGAAGTACGATCAAGTAAAGATCGAGCGGCAAGTCGATGCCAATCATCGTCAAGGGGAACTCCTTCAATGCTCGTCCCCGTGGGGTCTGCCTAAGTCGCTCTCCTAGAAATCTCAAGCCTGGACCTCCCCAAACCCTGAACCCCGTAATCGGCACTCTTCCTTCCCCCCCCTTCCAAAACCTGTCAAGCTGCTGCTTGACAAACTCGTAGATCTGGCACAGGAGGCTGCCATCACCACATCCTATCAAGCTCAGGCCTTGGGGGGTTCCTTCTACTGGTAGTGCTGCCATCACTGTAAAGGGATGTTTCAGCTTTGGGGTCTTGAGGTTCAGTTTCCCGGGATGTAGAAGAGCTTAGGGCCTTACGGCCTCAGAGCCTCTTTTGGGGAGAAAGGTGGGAACGCGTCCCCTCTCAAATATTGGCTTTGTTTGTATGTGTGTGTATATATAGACATATGTACTACGGGTGCCTATGTATACTCATGCATTGCACTACGGTATCCGATCCCGCAGCGGAAGGCCCGGCCGCCTGTGTCGGCTATGTATCGAGGCTGCTCGGCAAAGTCGCTCGTGGCAAAGAGTGGTCGTATGAGCTCGAGAAAGTCGCGGAAGAAAACCTCATAGAAAATCAGCTGAGAAGCAGAAAGGAGTTGGTGATCATGGTGGTCATGGTGAAGACAACGGGAGCAATACACCGTCTATTTCGCTATTTCTGCTGATGGACAGTCACACAGAATAGTAGCGCACTGAACTCAAAAATAGCTCCGGCCTTGTGTTGCAAGCCGCTGCCCATCACATTCAATCGGCGATCCACGTGGACCTGCTTCGAGAACCGCAGCTGCAAGTAATTGGTCGATTCAGCGACAACAACAACAACAACAACAACAACAACAACAACAACAACTACAAGGGTCATGCATGATCTACTCAGATACCAATGTTTCAAACTGACACAACTGTGCTTGCACTTCAGTTTAGTAGCGTCACCTTACCAGCAGCAAGCAAGCAGTCGTTGCAGCAGTAGTTGCTCGTGGCAGCAGAGGGCGCAAGACTGCTGGTCTTACTAGTAGTCGTAGTAGTAGATAGTAGTCGTCGTCGTACAGGCAAGAATAACACCACGAAGTACCCTGCCTCAGCTTTGGGCGACGACTCGCCAAAGGCCCACGCGGCATCCTGTGATGGGCTTGGCAGCTTGCTTCATGCGTTGATATCTTTGAAAAAAAGCTATGATGACTCTTCTGGGACTCTTTTGCGGCCGAAAGGTGTGCGATTGAATCTAGCAGGGCGCCAAGGTGGCGAGTTCAGTAATTTCGAATTGCACGGTCAACATTTGCCTTGCAAATTGGGCAGTCAGTGCATCTCTTGAGCCATTCATCGATGCAGTTCTCATGGAAGACGTGGCCACAAGGAAGACGTCGGCATTTATCTCCAATTTGAAAGTCTTCGAGGCAAATCATACACGTAGTCTGTGGTCTCTCGGGAACTCCAGCGGGTGGCGGAGGTGGGGGCCACGTGAAGGATTCGATTTCTTCGATGGTTTGCGGGAAGAGCCCTCGCCGATGGTTCAGCATGTCTTCGAGCTCCCTGGTGGTTCGCTCGGAGCTGAGCAGGAGCATCTGCAGGCCCTGTGGGAGCTGCGCCACTTGGTTCATCAAATGCGGGGGCAAAAGGTTCCGCAACGTCGGGGTCAGGTGCCCCTGGCAGAAGATGGTGGTACTCTTCCCGATTCGAGCGACCACATCGGGCTCACAAGCTACAACTTTGAACTGCACGCCCTGATACGTGAAGAGGTCACCATGCTGGTACTTCCTGTGCTGATTGGCCATCAGGTACGGCTTAAGGTAATCTCCAAACAGCTCGTATTGGTAGGCACTGGGCAATGTGTCCATGAAGGGGAGAATATGCACTTTCTCGAACTCGGGAGTTGTGTCCCAGTTCGCAAAGATTTCTGTATCCGTGGACACCATTCCGAGCCCTTGGGGCTCTGTTGCCTCGACCTGTAAGCACACCTCGCCCACCTGAGACTTAGCGTAAAGATTTTCATGGAACCCTAGTAGCGTTGCAACAGAAGACCGTAGTCTATCACAGGCCTGTTTAGGGGGTGGTCTCCTAATTTCTAGTAGGGTGCAAGATCGCCGCTTCTTAGTGCCACTTTCTTCTTTTAGCAGACTCCTCCTTAGGCCTTAGACCAATACCTTCAAGGCAAATCTTTTTGGTTCAACCGGCACCTGGACGACCTGTCCCGTGTACAGCAGTCTGACTCTCTTCACACCGGCCGTTCCATACGGCGAATACTCACCTTTGAAGTATGGCCGGACGTAATCGTTGAAGAGCTCCTCTGAGCTCAGTGTGTTGGGACCCCAGGCGCTGAACTGGATCTTCTGAAAGCCTGCAAGGGCCGAAGCAAGAGAAGACCATACGAAGCTGATGACTAAAGATCTGGTAAGTTCGCTCGTTGACAGGTCAAGTATACATCGAAGATCATGCCAACAATAAAGTGTCTTGTTTCTGAGCCCGAGCAGCAGATCACCGGGGCTCCGTCAACAAAGAAATCTGTCTCCATTCCCAGGCAACCCTGAGGTGGGTCACACTTGATGACCACGAAGTCCGCCTCTTTCGCCTTGCATCCGGAACGCGATAAACCAGGTGAAAAGGGTTTAGGGCTTACGGGTTGGGGGTTTGTGGCTTAGGGGTTTAGGGTTTAGGGCCTACGAGGCCAAGGACTAGGATGACTAGGACTTAAGGACCTTCACCTGCAGATCTTAAAGCCACAACGGTGCTTCAAGTTTGTAGGAGCCACTCTCACCAAGTCCCCAGAGCACACCGTCGCTTTCGTATTTCGCAGTTGGCGCAACGTCTCTGCAAGAAAATCCATTCGCTGACGGCCTCAGAAACACAACACGCGTGGAATTCACAAGGAATCCCTCCGTATGTGACACGGCGGAGGCATACTTTGTATTTCTTAGAGAAGGAAGTGGTAGTGCTCAGACCACCCAGCCTTTGATCTTCTTGTCCGCCTCTTTGAGGGGCAAGATATGAAGCTTTTTGAGGACAGCCTGCAAGCACGGCTTCTGCACCTAAAACAACTTTAAACCGCCGGGGGAACAAAGCACTCCATGCCTCGCCATCATGGGACTCGGCTGCTGCCGGCTGTGTCGAGGAGCTGGCTTGTCTGGCACCAAAAACCACGAAACAGGCACAGCACTCTCCTCCGAGCTCACAGAAAGCAAACGATCTTAAGAGCACCTCTCCCCGTCTTCTTCTGCGCCCATGGCTCTGAACGAGTACTGACTTTAAAGAACGGCTTGAGCCATCCCGGCAAGAGTGAATCCATGTCGTGAAGCTTTCAGAAACCCTGCTTTGCGGCAGGGACTCATGCACAACCGCTAGGCTCGGATCCTCGAACAGAATCCGCTGCATGTTTGCCAGCCTGCACGAGATCAACGAGCCACTCAAAAGCGGTAGCACCACCGAGAATACGTGCACGGCGGCCTGGCTCCTTACACAGCCTTTCAGTCCCGGCTCAGATTTCAAACGAGGCACATCGGCGCGTACGATGATGCGACCAAGAACGTATAAGTACCTCGGGGCAGGAGGCATCCCGTTACAGCAGTGCCTGCTTTGTGTCAAGGTCGGAAACTCCAAGATGAGCCAGGGCACGCTGAAGCGCCAAGGCTCCGGGAGCTGTGATTTGCAGAACACCTGACACTCTTGTCAGGTTATGCTATGGTCATGCTAAATTACTCTTCTATATACTCAGAGCGTTCATAGTCTACGAACGCTCTGAGTATATCAGGATTCTACTACTAAGTAGTAGATAATCGAAAAGTCGTCTTGTTACAAGTTATTGCTGTAAAGAAAACCCACTTGCTGCTTCGACTGTAAGTCTTTATAGGATCCTTAAGGGAGGGTGGCTCAAGGGGGGAGGGTCCTAGGGATCCTTCGGGAGCTTTAAGGAACCTAAGGGAGTACTAGGGAGAATTGGGGATCACTGGGTTATATACCCCCCTTAGAACCCCCTCCCTTAAGGATTCCACAATAAGTCGCGCCTTGCTCGTTGCAGGAGCCCACTCCAAGTGTCTCACTCAGGAGCCCATCCTGGGTCCGGAGCAGATGAGGGAATTCGTGCTTCCGCTGCAGGAGAACTCTAGGTAACCTTTTTCGGAAATATGCTGCTAAGGGCCGTGTTCCGAGGTTTGAAGCGCCCGGAGATTCTTTGGAAGGGGTTCAGTGGCAATCTAGAAGTTTCTTAGGCAACACCTTTCCGAACAAGTGCGCTCTTGTTGGCTCACCCGTGCAACAGCACGGTTTGCACGCAACAAACCCGAAGTTAATTTGGGACGAGTGGTGGCAAGCGGCGAGAGTCTTTGTCCACCGTGGCTCCATGGAGATCGTCTTCTCTCCGACCAAGGAAGAACCTTTCGACCCACCAGCTCGAGGCCAAACCCTCTCGCATAAAGGGGCGAGCCTTCGGCACGAAGAGCTACAACCAGTGACCTCACCACATCTCTTGGAAAACCTACTCGGCTTTGCACAGCTACGAGCCATCAAGGACTACAAGGGGCGGGCGGGATAGTACTACGTGTACTTGTCAATTCGACCCCAAACTTACAGACAAGCTGCGTCAAGAGGGGTGTCAGGATGGCCCCATCCAGCAGCTGGAGGCCGGCAGAAGCCTGAAAAACCCCGGCGAAAGCGAAAACCCTAAACCCGAAACCAGAACCCTAACATAGTTATAGTAGAGTATAGTAATTGGAAAAAACATGCCCGGGACTTCCCAGTGCCCTCTCCAGCGTCGGCCTCGGTGCGCCACGGTCGCGTCTGCCATGCCTCAGGCAGGGGCTCGTTTTGGTAGCATGAGAACAAGTAAAGCACAGCGAAGCACGAGCCCTATTCTCAACCCTAACCTTGTGCTTGAGACTCCAAGCATCTCGAAACTCGCTGTAGTGAGCTCTGGTCCGCAAAGCCTAAAGCCCCAAACCCAAAACGCTAAATCCGTAGACCCAAAACCCACTGGAATACGTAACAATACACCCCTTCGCCTCGAAGCAGACGGCCGCCTGCGCCGAGTTCAAAGCAAAGGGCGGCCAGGCCTGCCGGAGCTTTGGGGCTTTAGGGTGCCCCTCTTCACTGCCAGTGCGGCTACCAGTACTCACCTGAGTCTCAGTACACCTGTTTCTGTGGTGATGACTGTTGCTGCTGCTACGAGTATCATGGCCGTTTACCGTGGCTTGACACATGATGCAGCAGTCGCCACGAATGGCTGTTGACAACGTTTTGCCCACTGCACAGATCAAAACCCGAAACCCCAAAGCACCCATACAATTGCCCACTCCATCCTGCTGATAGATGTTGCGCAGCAGGGTGTCGCAGGAGCCACCAGAGGCCAGAAGCGTGACCAGCGCCTACAGATGCAACAAGCTTTGCGAAGGTGAGCGAGACATTGGCCCTCAGAAACTCGGGCCTGCAGCTCTTGCGACTCCACAGCTGAAACCTTGCCATCCGCATCGATGGAGACCTTCGAAATCGTGAGAGTTTTCATCTCCAGGAGCTACAAAGGTTGTCCTCACGCGAGCTGCTCACCAGGAATCCAGGAATATTCGGCGCATCGAAACGAGCTCGACTGAAAAAGCCCCTCCTACTCCTGCTTGCAAACTGGCGACATAGCCTAGCACCTGCATGGCCCGCAGGAGAACCTTCCGACGCACAGGGGCTTCGCATACACCAGGTGGCTACATTTCACGCGGCTGAAAGTTTCAGTCTCAATGGGCCCCCCGCCCTCAGCGGCCCTTCATTTCCACACTGCCAGGTGCCACTGCGCAGCGCAGGCAAAACCACCTGTCAGGCGCTGATCTAAATGCCAAGTTTGGATTGACAGAACGGCAGGTCTGTCGGTTGTTCTAGGTCCGCAGAAAGCATGGAATCTCAGAACGGAGTGCTCGCCGAACATGTTGGGATGGACTGCGCGAGAGGGTGAAATTTCAAGGAAGCAAGCAGCAGGCACCACGGCAATCGATCCAGGCGTGCGAGTGGAACCTGCACGAATTCGAGGAGAAGCGGCGCTGAAACCTCTCACGAGAGCAGGGAAGTGACTGTCACAACATGCTTCGAATATCTTCTTCCTTTCGAGTCCTGTTCTGTCGAGTTGCATAGCCGTGCGCCAGGCGCAGAGCGCTGTTCGCCAGAAGACTCGTTGCGACTTTCGTCGGCTGCTTTGGCACCTGGCGCCGTCAGCTCCCCCAAAGTCCTCGAGCAGATCCAAAGCTAGGGCCCCTGCGACGTTGCCGCAGACGCTGAGAAGCATCGCATTTGCAAGTCCTCAGAGCATGGCTTTGCAGCTCAGGCTTAGTCACGACAGAAGATGCCAGGAAGAGGGGGACACGAACCCCTACCGTAGATGCTCAATGGAAGGATCCTCGTTATCAGCACTGCAAGGAAAATCCTGCCACCCCTCTGAACAATTGCGGCATGCCAAGCTGCCCATTGCGTTGGGTTCGGGAACGGCCACACACCCCTGCGCCTGGTCCCAGACAACATGCCGTCCAAAAGCATTGTAGAATCGTCGCCATTTCATGATTCTCTTAACAAATCGAATCATAAATGAATTGCTCTCAATAACCATATTCGAAAATCATTGACATACTTCCGCTTCGGAAAGATATGAAAAACTAAGATGCTCAAGACTCGTCTTCGATCCTAAACCCTAAGGCCCTAAACCCCCTAAACCCTTAGCCCCATAAACCCTAAAAACCCTGAAAACCTTGAACCCTAACAACCCTAAAAGCCCTAAACCCTAAAACCCTAGAACCCTAAACCCTGTTTGCATTTGCCTCGTAGTGGTCACGGAGCCGCTCGGCCAAACGCGCAGAGCGACTGTCCACCAGAAGCAGAATGAAGTTGTAACCTTGGCCCTTTAGGGTTGAGTGGTTTAGGGTTTGTTTTAAACGCGTCTTTTCCTTACCGCATCTGGTCGGGAATACCATGAGTTTCGAGGGGTTTAGGGTTTAGGGTTTAGTTTCGAAGCTGATAAAAAAGAAGCTACAAGCTCCCCATGAGCCCATAAGCTCGACTGTGGGGAGTCAGGAAGGACTAGACAACACGTCTCGTTGGAGTTCCAGACACAAATAACTCAGCCAAGTAGCCTCGAGTGTGCAACACATCGAGCATTTTGTTGAACCTGCCCATGGCTTCTAAATTCGAACACCTTTCCGTGCTGTCGTACCCCTGGCATCTAACCGCCGGAAGGGCAGGGGGGCATTTTGTAGGCCCTTCAGCCAAGCCGCATGCGTTGGTCAAGGCCCAGACCGCGCGCCATCGGGGCCACAAACTGCGCCACCCACACCGCCACGAAGATCTGTGCCAGGTGGAACCGCAAGAACTCCGACTCACATTTTTCGCGAGAGGCAAAACCTTTCCGGTGCTGGCCTCGCTCTCTTTCAGATCCGGCCTCCCGAAGGTCTCTCTAACGAGAGCACCCATCTGCGGCCTTGCAACGGGCAAACTCCTCTCGTGTGCGAGAGGAGTAAGCTGTGAAAATGCCGGGACACTGCTGCATTCTTCGGGGTGGAAGCCTGCCAAGAAGACGGAACTTGAAGCACGACTTCTGCTTAAGAAAGCCTGTCACAGTCTCACGGCCTGGCCTGAGGACGGCGCGACCTGCTTCTGCCCTTCGCCACGGCCGTGCGCTGCTGAGAACCTTTACACGTAACTGCACACAGAGGTATGCAGGGATATCGAGACGACGAAGCATGCGACGTTGCGGAAGTCCATATATCTCACTCTCACATGGTCCTTGCCAGTAGTCTTTCTGCAGCCCAGATACGGCAGAGATCTTTAGCTCCTCCGCACCCTGTCTGCTGGTAAGCGGCACCACCTTCGCACACGGACATCGAAGATCTTGCTTGGTACCTCACCCCGGACCCTAAACTGCGCAAGCCTCCCCACAAGAAGATAAAACAAAGAGGAACCTGAATGTCGACTGCCGTGTCTGCAGGCAGCACGGCGGATTTTCGATGCGGAATCGTCAGCCACCTCTTAGGTTTGGGGCTGAGGTTTCGACTTTGTGCCATTTAGGGTCGCTGGCGCCTTGCACTTGTCATGGCCCTTGGCCATATCATGATTGTGTAGCTTGCAATACACGGAAGGCTCGGCAACATGTAAAGATTGCGCTGATTGAGCTGGTTCAAGTAGCAGGCTTCAGCACTCTCAGGTAGGAGTACGCTAAGCAGCCAAGATGGGAGTGTCAGAGATAGACCCTGAAGAATCGATTGAATAGGCTGCCTGTTACGAAGACACCCAGATATGGTACCCCTATATGGAAGGGAAGCCTGGCAGCTGCGCGAAGCGGATTGGCCCAGCGCTTTGGAGGGCCCTCAGCCAAGACCTGCGGAAGCAAGACAGCAAAAGCTCTGCACCCCAGAAACGCCAAAACACCCTGAAACCTGCACCGACGGAGCTCTGCCTCAAAGCGCCCCTCCACCACACGGCTGCGGAGAGTTTGAAGTTTCGTTCGGCGACAGAAGAAGCCTTGCATTTAGGGTCTACGTCCTCGAACCAAACTGGCTTCACTGCCCCTTGCCCACGCAGGAACATGTTGAAAGCGCTTGAAATTAGGATGGCTCCCTTTAGAGCACCGAACCCTAGACAGTTCACCGAAATCACAACAACCCCGCGAAAAGACTTCAATTGAACAACGCTGCCAAGAAGCGAGCAAGGAAGGACACCAGCTCAAGAAACAGCAGGAACATCAAGGACTGCATAGGGCGGAGGGCAGGTTCGTCCAGGAAGACCCGGAAGAGAAGCCGATGCAACTGGGTGCATGTGTCTCCAGAATATATACGCACGCATTGGACGAGAGACCTGCATGGAGAAAGACAGAGAGCGGCGCAGACATGTGTGAATAAAAATGTGTATGCACATATATATGTATATATTTACTTATTTATTCATTTATTCGTTACGTTTATTTATTTTTGTACATGTACAGACCTACATATACCGCTATATATTCGAACAGGTATAGACCTAGACAGCCATGTTGACACACATATAAAGCTTGTTCTAATATGCAAAATGTATGTTTGCACATTAGTTGAAACTATATCCAACTCATCAGCTTGGATCATGCAGATCGCTGACTAAGCTGGGTCGACTGGCCAAAGCCTCCTCACCCAAAGTTCGAACACCACGTCCCGGACACCAAGCTCCCATCACCTGCAGGCACTTTCTTGAAGGTCTATTGTCAGAGCTGCTGCTAAAACTAAAGGGTTCTGATTGACTTTCAGCTTCTCCCGGGGTGTTCCTGCAGCCATCTGCAGCCGTTGGTATGGGCCTCTCCGTTGCGGAGATCGAACTTCGTGCCCAATGCTGCGCAGTCCGCCCGGAGGATGCGGCCGTCGAACTGCACACCCGGCCCGGAGAGAGGCTGTAGCCTGGCACGTGTACTGATTAGGCCTACTGTCAAGGAGTAGCAAACTCTGCGCTCGTCAGGCTCCGTGGATCGAGCGTACTGATTGCGGGACAGTCTGTGGCGAATCCGCCGGGTGACAGTGGAGGAAGGGCATCATCAGCGGCATAGAGGTCACCGTCCTTACCTGGCCCATCCGGAGCACTCATGGAATCACTTTCACAAGCTTGCATGTAGCCGTACGGAACGCAATCCTTCTTCTTCAGTTTCCGGTTTCGGATCTATGGCTTGGTCGAGACACAGCTCATGCAGACACAGATAGGTATGTGTGTATATACATGCGCACACACACACACACATACACATACACATGCACATGCAAATGCACATGCACATACATATACATATCTTATACATAAGCACGTACGTACACATACACGTGTACATATATATATATATATATGTATGTGTGAACATATGCATGTACATGTATACGAACAGATGCACGTACAGATACATAGACAAAGGTATGACCATTACCCATACATAATTCATACATACACGGGTGCAGATGCAATAAAAAACATTTTAGACATTTTTTGACATACATATATGTATATACAGACGTGTATGTGTATGTATGTATGTATATATATATATATATATCTGTTCTGCTCTGCTCAGGGCCTGAGGCGGGGGCAGGCCCCCCGTCCCGCGCTATATATATATATATCTATATCTATCTATCTATCTATCTATCTATCTATCTATCTATCTATCTATCTATATATATATATATATCTATCTATCTCTCTCTCTCTCATTGGCTCGCATGTATGGCTGCCCGTGTCTCTCTATTTAGTCATGAATGCGTGCATGCACGTCCAAACATGCATGTGTGCATGTAAGCAGGTGTGTAAGTGTAAGTCTGTATGTACGCATGCATGCGTTTATGCGTGTATGCATGCACAGGCATACCGAACAGAATTCCACGCCTGCCTCCAAATCATACCAAGGGGAGGCACGGGCATATCATGTTCCACCGCAGTGACGACCCGGCACCGCATTTAATCCTATAGAGTAAAAAACACACACGCAGACTGCGATGTCTATCGGAATCCTCAGGCGCTTCTCTCCGCTCATTTCGCCTCGAAGCACTGCCACGTGCCGGTCGGAGCATGGAAAGGAGCAGACACCCCCAGGAGCCGGCAGCTCCTTCGAATCTTGGGGTTCGGTCAAGAAGGGTTCGGTTTTTAGGGCTTTCTGAGGGCCTTTTAGGGCCCCGGATTTGGCGATGAGGGTTTGCGACTTCGGAACTCCGCCATGATGGGCTCACGAGATAAGGCTGAGGACCTTAGGAAGTTCAGGAGGTTTGGGCCCTTAGGCTGGGGACAAGGGTAGGGATGCCGCAGGGGGACGCTGACTGAGCGACACAGCGATCCTTCTCGGAAGCAATGCAGATCCACATAGCTGCATGGACGACATGAGGGGGGGTAAGAAGCTTGGAGTACCTTGTTTTCGGGAGGCATTTCTTCGCTCTTGATTAAAGCATAGTTGTACAGGTCTTTCAGTCGTGGAGGTTTAAACCTGTCAGGCATCCTGTCTGGGGACCACGGCTTGAAGTATCTTTTGGCGAAACGCGGGAGCTTGCAGTCCCGACTTCTAAGTCGGGTCGTTTCGACTGTGAGTCGAGTGAATGTGGCTTAAGCCTAAAGACACGCATTAGTGGCAGTGCATCCGACAGATCAAGACACGAACTCATGATAAGAACACGGCATGGACTGCGGCTTCATGATCACACTCGTCAGCACTCGTCAGACGTCTGACTGAGATCGTGGATGGGCAAGAGTCACCAGTAGGTCAGTCAGGGCCAGGCAGTTCGCCCCAAATCTCCGTCAGGCTTCTTCTTGAAGCGTCGCTCCAAAAGCCTCCCGGTTTGGCCGCGCGCCTACTCTCGAGGTTCGTTCTGATGGCTTATACACGCTTGATGTGCATGTATCAGTTGCTGTTGTTGAGCACTTCTGCAATGATGGTAATCTTTTGGTAGTACTACCACTGTTGCTATTTTAGTTAAACATGTTAGACCTGGAGAGACAGAGCATTGCAAGCATTGGAGAGCAGAGACTGCGGAGCGTGCCCTTTGATCTTGTCCGGCTCTTGAAGCTCTGCCCCCTCCTGAGTGTAGGAACATTGCACAGACAACAACATACGTAGCATGTTGGCATGCATATTAAACTGTGTTACACTGTTATGTTGAGTTCTGCTGCTGTAACTCGACATCCAAAATATAGCAAACCATCAACCGCATGGTTTTGCCACTCCCTTTTTGATCGCGTTAAGTGGCCGCTCTGAGGCCTCGGCGGTTGCAGCCTTCAGTGCCTCGCAAGTGGGTAAAGCCAACTGAAGTCCTAAGCACTTCACCGTAATCCACCAGCACTCCCAGCTGTAGGAAAAGCGTCGTGTAGGCATCGTTGTGGGTTGCTCGTCTCATGCTGGAAGCCCACAGCTCTTCGTTGGTCCTCGCGCCTGCTCTGCATTCATCTGCGGGAAAGATCGCCTGTCCTGCATGGAACAGTGAGATTGGAATTAGAGTGCTGCCTGAGAGGAAGTGGTCTGCCATAGATACACAGCTTACTACTGTTCCAGAACACTCGCCTTGATGATGAGCTTTGCGAAGGCAATGGCATGCTGAATGTTGGCGTCAACCACCCTGATGGCAAACAAGGGATGAGTGCATCAATGTATGTGTATGTGCGTATATATCTATATGTATATCATACGTCTGCCATCTGTCTGTCTGGCCCGCGGCTGATCGTCTGCCAGTTGCCTCGTCTCTGTGACATCGCAAAGGTTCCAGTCGAGATCCGCCAATGGGAGCGGAGGAAAGCAAACCTCAAAGGGGCAGGGGCCAAAGGGGCTTAAGCTTTGGGCTTCAGAGCTTAGCTTCAGGGGTTTAGGGCTCAGGGTTTATGGTCTGGGCTTGGCGTTTACAAGGGGTTAGGGTCTTGGGGTCTTTCGGCTTAGGTTTGGCATTCTCCCCATTGACCTGGCCTCCAGACGAGTCTCCCCCTCCATGATGAGATTCATTGTCCTGGCCATTAAGGCGTTTTTTGCGTTTCGCTTTGCGGTTAGGGTTAGGAGGGTTTGGGGTGACATGTCAAAGCCAGCCTGCCGATGCCGCTAGCTTGAGCTACAAGCACTTCCTCGGTGGCTCCGAAGTTGTTTGTTGCCTTGTGACCCTATGGAATCGCACTACATACAAAACATGCCGGTGAGACGAATAGGCAGCCGTCTGCACCTCGCCGGTTTTGATTGAGCCCGGAAGGAACCGCTCTTTCGGAGCCCAGTCAGTGACTGAGGTGCTTGCAATCTCAGCGAAGGACTTCGGCCAAGGAAAAATCTTCCGGCCCTCCTCGTCCTGGTGGGGGCTCGGCTCAAGGCTACAGTGACTGAGGGTCAACTGAACGAATGTCCGTTGAAGCGCATCCAAACCCGACCATTAAATCAGAATTGAGGAGCTCGACAGACGCTCGTAGTTCTCCATTTTACACCCTCCTGCCCTATCCTCTCATATGCCTGCAGAACATGTCCTACATTTCATAACAGCTTCAAGCAACAGCACATGCCTTTCTTGCCTAATTTAGGGCGACTAATCTTCGCTGCGCTCCAGCTCCCAAGGATCCGGTGCTGGAGGCATCTTCTTCCGCGCGCCCTGACCAAGTCCGGGAAGCGTGAAAGCAGTGGGCTTGTCTGGCCAGACGCCTCTTCTTCGTTATGTCAACAATAGTCGGCTTCAGAGAAAGTCTGCTCAAGCTTGTGCAAGGAAGGTCGAGGCCAGATGGGAGCTGGTCTGACTGGACTCCTAGACCCGGTGAGCCAGTGACTTTGCAGGCGGCCTCGGATTTCGGGCTCTTGCGCGGCGAGCGAGAACGCAATCTCGCCAGTGTCTCCTGTGTGGGCGGGAGGTTGGGATCGGCAAGGGATCAGCCAGACAGAGTTGGACAACGCACGATCTGAGTCCACCGAAGAGTCGAAGAGCAACAAGAACAACGACGGCATCGGCATCTCAGAATCAGAATCTCCTTCGCAATGCTCCGGCCGGACTGCACAGGGCGACAGACTTCAAATGGGCTATGCATCTGTGGATACACACATGGACGGCGCCATCACCTCATGATAAAGACCACAGGCCCCAAGATCCGCCGTGGCTCATTGTGACTACTACAAAGGAGCGAAAGTGCATATCCATCAGCCTTCTTCTTTTTGCCCGTGGAAGTTCCTGCTGCCTCGGTGCTGATCAGCTAAACAAACACTGCCTTACATTTTTCGCCTAACGACCCCCAGGACCAACTGCGCGTGACGATCACCTTGACTCAGACACTATTTCGATGCATCACTATATGTCCGATTACATTGACTTGTCAATGCAGTGTAGGATTAGATTATATGTATAAATGTATACATACATACATACATACATACATACATACATACATACATGCGTGCGTAAAAGGTTAATTACATACGTACACGCGCGCATACGTAATTACATGCATCCACGCAAACACGCATGCCTGCATACCTGCATACATGCATATGTGTGTACATGCATGCATGCATACATCGTTACATATATACATACATACATACATACATACATACATACATACATACATCCATGCATGCATGCATGCATGCATGCATGCATGCATACATTCATACAGACATACATATGCACCCGAATAGTATACACATATACATATTAAATATGACATGTAAATATACATTTTGCATACGCACAGAATACACATAACGGTGTGTGTATGCATACATGTATACGTATATGTCTACATATACGTGTACATATACATTATGCGTATGCAGATGCATATCCGTATGCGTGTGCATGTGTCTATACATACACGTCTACGTCTCCATAAACATGTACATATTCATATGGTGTGTAGTGCATAAAAACTAAACATACATACATACATACATACATACATACATACGTACATACCTACATACATACATACATAAAGACAGACAGACAGACAGACAGACAGACAGACAGACAGACAGAAAGACACACAGACAGACAGACAGACAGACAGACAGACAGACAGACAGACAGACAGACAGACAGACAGACAGACAGACAGACGGACGTACATACATACATACATACATACATAAAAACACACATACATAAGTATATACATGCACATATACATATACACTCATGCATACATACATGCATGCATACATGCATACATGCATACATGCATACATGCATACATGCATACATGCATACATGCATACATGCATACATACATACATACGTACATACATACATGCATACCTACATACATACATACATACATACATACATACATACATACATACATATGCATAGGTATTTAAACATAAATATGTATACATATTATATAAGTACATATATATGTATATATATGCCTCTATATATCTATATATATATATATGTACCTATACATATACATAGTCGCATACCGATACATATACATTTACACATGCATGCATGCATGCATACGTGTGCACGTGTGTCTATGAATATATATATATATATTAATTTTTGTATATGTATGTACATACATACATACATACATACATACATACATACATACATACATAGTGTTCTTGCTTGTAGATTGGATTCGTGTGCAAGATAGGTTATCCGACCAAGACCCCAGCACGGAGTGCTACTGCCGTCGCACTCCTGTCCACCATCCGTCTGTTTGGATTTTGGGATAGGGTCGAGCTTGCTTCGATGGTTCAGGGATCAAGCACTGCCTTAATCGCCAGGGTTTCGGATCTAGGCTAAACGCTGTAGGGCTCCACGTCAGGATTGAATCGCGACGATGATTGCAGCATGTGTTGCTGTACCCTCATACTTCGCCTACACCTCTTTTGGCCATTCCTGTTAATATTGGTTCTGTACTTCTTGCATCTTCTGTCTACCAACATGATCCTTATCAGTGGTCCTCCTGACGCGCGGGCCCCCCCTAAACTAAATCTGAAGACCAGGCAACTGAAACCCTTCACCCAAGTGCCGGATTGACAGACACTATACTACTATGCACTACTACCTTTGGTCGTAGGGAAACACAGGGAAGGAACGCACCGGCTCGTTCCCAATAACAGGAAAAGTACCGATAGGTTGCCTTGGGGCAGTTTACAGTAGGGCTTACGTGCTGTCTGCGTAAATCACGATTCACGCTACGTCAGTTCTGGACAAGGATGGCTCCAAATGCATGAAGCATGCATGAATGCTTTAAATACGTTGCGATGCAAATGTCGCTCACGAACCATGCCAACCCAAACAACAAATGTAAAGCTGCTGAGATACGCTGCCTGGCATTCGTGGAGCACGTGTACCCGAAAACTATCACACAAAGGTTCTGGAGTGTCCATGCCTTGCAACTCCTGGAACTGCGTACGGCATATACTGCATGTGCCATCATATAACCTGTTCGCAACCTAACTCCAAGCACACTCTTCACAGGTGGCACCTCTTCGCAACGATGCCGGCCACCAAAACCGCGGCAGCCGCCGCGAGCCCGGACGGGCCACCTTGTTTCCCAACATTGCAGTCACCAGAGACTCAATGTTGCAGAAGGGCTACAATGAAGACTAGGAACCGACAGACGGACTCTGGCCGGCAGTCATCTTTAGCACAGACGAAGCCACCATAAACCTACTTGTGGAAATCCGGGCCGCGCTGTTCCGCCCTGGTTCTGAACATTTCGAGGCCGGCCTCTCTCTGGAATTTCACGCATCGCCCGCCCGGGCTTTGAAGGCAGCCTGCGTGGCAAGATCTGTGAATGCGGGAGGGAGGGAGCACCCAAGAAAGCTTTTAGGAAACAGACTGTTTGGGGATATTGGCTTGTCTGCTGCGGTCTCCCACTCCGTTGCTTCGATTTTCGGTGCATCCCCGGAAACGTCCTGGCGACAGGCATCGTGGGCGGTGCCGCACCCAGGACAAACGCCTGACAACTTGGCAGTCGAATCTCGGCAGATGCAAGCGAAGACTGCACCTTGCAAGCTAGTCCGGCTTCCTCCTTTTTGCCAACTTAAGCTGACAATGAGGTTGCCTATAAGGGTTCCCATACATACATAAATACATACATACATACATACATACATACATACATACATACATACATACACATATATATATATATACATGTATGTATACATGGGGCTGCTATATAGGAGCTTCCGCTCCAACCTCGGAGAGGAGCGCCATGGCAGCTGCGGGAGTCTCTTCAGAAAGGCTCGAAGGTGGCAGTCGTAAGTTCGTCCTACCTACACTGAGAAACCGCTGGATGGGGATGGAAGATGGTCTTGTGCCGAGGTTGTAGCAAAACTTGATGGTGATATCTCCTACTGCGGGCCGCACGCCACCGAGGAATCACAGCCAAAACATTTCGGAGAAAACGACCTGAAAGAGAATTGCATGCAACGAGACAGCCATAACAGGAGTAGCAATCCCAAATCACGAGCCCTGGCGCAGGTGAAGCCATCTCGCCTGTCCCGAAGGGTCCCAGAAGCCCGTGAACCGAAGCGAGCAGAAGTTCCCTTTTATCCAGGAATGCTCCCTCTGTTCCTTGGGACAGCTAAGACATGGACAGCAGGCACAAGACAGTCAGGTCTGTCTGCACCCCGCATTTGCGACGGAGCAGCAGTGCCCAAACATAATCAAAAGTTCTGAGCAGTGACTCCCAAGCCAGATACAGCTGCTCGGGCGCAGAAGGCTCCGGTGCCACCGCGCGAAAAGACCGTTTGAAGTCCAGAAGTTCCTCTGCATTCTGGCCTACGCCGAGTTCGAAAACAAGACCTGCAGTCCAGTTGTGAACAGTCAAGCCCGGGCCCCGTTCAGTTTCCAAAGCCTATGGGCCTTCTCGGACCTCGACATCTACGTCTGTACAACTGGAAGATTGCCCAGGCTCTTCCCTGGCAGATGTCATGATCCAGCTTCGAGGACTGTCACTGGCGTAGCATGTCGTAGCATGTAGTAGGTCATGGACTCAGGGAAAGCGAAGGACATTAAGATTTTGCCATCTTTCTGACTGCCAGCTTGCTGGACATTCATTCCCTGCCAGAGAAAGCGGACGTGCCAGCACAGCAGGTGATGAGAGCACCGGACCAAGAAACAAGAACTTCCGCTCTGCTACAGCTCTAGAGTGGCTAAGCCTTACCATGTGTACAGGGCTCTCCGCCCTCGGCACATCCAGAGTCACAGGCTCTCTCGATATCGCTGCGCTGTAAATGAAGCCGTCAGACAACCTCAGTGGACCAAAGAAGTCTTCTGCAGCGGCTACGAAACAGATCATCGGCACAGAAGTGAAATAATTCAAGTCCCAGGAGCTACTCTCAGGATCGGCAGACATGCTCGCCCTTGCTTGCGTCTGGCTCCCAGGTGTCGACCAGGCGTGCCTGGCCACTGATCTTGGCGGCACTGGAGACTTCTGGGATGCTCCGAAGAAATGGCCTCCCGGCGATGCCTCAAACCTAAGCAATACTCTGCACCTTTGGGAGTTCGATGGAAGAGTGAGTTTCGTTGACTTCCAGTGCACCCCGAGAGACCGATACCAGAAGATGCGTGCTGGTGAACTCGCGAACCGCTCAGGCAATTCAGGCGACTGTGCAAGCTGATCGTAACGACATGGGTGCATGTGTGTGCTTTCACAAATGTAAGTTGCTAGTTCTGTACACATAGATACATCTATGAATTTCTGTAGGCTCCATGTGTGAATTAATCTGTTGTTTCTTTGCATGCCTGCTTGTTTCCTTGTTGCTTCAGTTGGCTTGTTGTTTATACATTTGTTCTTACAAACCTACTCAGGGTGTACACAGCAGAACGCCGCGCTGAAATCTGCGGAAGCCTTGACGAGATCATCGGCTACCTGTGGCACAGTAACTTCGGGCTCACATAGAGGGCTCACAAGATGCAGGCTGAGGGTTTAGAGTTGAGGGCTTATGTAGACTTCGGGTTACAGCAGACCGTAGAGGGATCACGGATCACAAGAACACTGAGACCCCTGAACGGAACCTACCCACCTGGTCGACGGAGGTATGCCCAAGCAGCATGAAGCGGGTCTTCGCGACCTCCCCGTGGAAATGCAGGAGACGCGCATTAAGACCATTGAATGTAAAGTGCAGGTGCAGCTGAGATCAGGTCCAGCCCGTAGCCCCAGTCACGGATGATGCGCGGTATCACCTGGCATTGCCGTCGAATCCAAACCAACCAGGACTGGTCAGGCTGATGTGAGTTCGCAGCCTTCAATCCCCAGAGGCCGCTAATCACGCCATCGAGCTCTCCGATCACCTGGCAGAAAAGGCTTGATGCAGTGGAGCCCAACTACCATCTACACTACACACATCAGTCTTTGAAAGGAGCAGCATCTCGAAGCATCACATCTCGAAGCCGAACCTCCAGTGCCGCGTCGCTGTGGGTGAAGGCTTCCCAGTTACGGAGGAGGACGACGGAGTCCAGATCTTCGAAGGCACATGGCACATGGGATCGGAAGCGGAAGCACTGAGAAGAACAGAGTAGGAAACCGATCCTTCTCAATTCCGCAAGCGAACAGTGGCCCGTATGGAGAACCCTATAATTATAAACCCTCAAATGGCGTAAACCCCAACTCCTGCGCCCTAGACCCTGAATCCTAAACCCTCTCCACTCCCGTTCTGAACAGTAGCAGAGTTGCGCTGCCTTTGGGCTGCTCCTTCCAGACGAGGATCTCCTTCAAGAAAGGGGTTCGGAGGATGGAACCCGGGAGAACCCAACGTCAACCGCTCAACTGAGATTTGGGATCTAGGATGTAGGCTCAGGGAGCTCAGGCCGTACGGATTTAGGCTTGAAGGTTTGGGGTGTAGAGTGTAGACGAGACTCCTCAAAAAGCAGGAAGAAGCCTTCCTGCTAGGTTTTCCTTGAGCACCAGACCGAGAAACCGCATTTGCTACTCTCCAGATCACGAAGAATCGAACAGGACATGGTGCATCAATCTGTAGCCGTAGACCGGCAATCAACATTAATGCTTGTTGTCATGGCTGTAACAACACAAAGCTTAAGGAGAGCCCAGTAACCAGGACACTAATAGGATCATAATATGATCCCTCTGTCGAATCTTATGTCCCTTCTTTCAAGGCCCTTCTCTCAAAAGCACAATAACCCCAAACCCTGGCCGTAAACCCAAAATTAAGCGGGAAGCCGCCGTGCCCCGTGGGAATTGAGCGTCCACTCTGCTCGGTCCTGGCCCAGATTCGACTGCAGCGGTGCAAAGCGGAAGCGGTCGCCCGAGTCACGGCCTCGTAGCCCAACTCAATATTCAGCAAAATGTACACATGTATATGCATGTAGAATACGTGTGCATGCATGTGTGTATATCTATATATCTATTTGTGTATATGTATATGCGTATGTATGTACGGATACATTCATGCATGTATGTGTGTGTATATATATATATATATGTGTGTGTGTGTGTGTGTCTCTGTGCGTTCTATGAGTGTACACGCGTACGTGTGTATGTGTATATGCATGCATGTTTGTATGTATGTATGTATGTATGCATGCATGCATGCATGCATGCATGCATGTATGCATGTGTGTGTGTGTGTATGTATGTATGTATGTATGTATGTATGTATGTATGTATGTACGTATGTGCATATATATATATATGTGTGTGTGTGTGTGTGCGCGTGTGTATACGTGTATGTATGCATGTATGTATATATATATATATACAAATATGTGTATACATATATACGTGTGTGTGCACGTATTTACCTATACGTATATGTAGAGTGCGTATGTATATATATATATATATATGTATGTATATACATATATATATATATATGTGATGTAGAAACCATGAAATGTGCATATATATATATATATATATACACATGATACATATATATATATATACATACATACATACATACCTGCATTCATACATAAATGCATTCATACATACATACATACATACATACATACATACATACACACATACATACACGTGCGTGTGGAAACACTGTCAAAGGTGCACACATTGTCTAGATTGTGCATACGTACATACATACATATATACATACGTACATACACACACATACGGTACATACAATTATACAAGGAGTGCAGTAATATTATTTGCTTCCTGCACAACATAGCTACTGCGGCAGGATTCCGGACGGAAACAAGGGCCAGACTGACAACAACTGCGACGAATCCCAAGCAGAGCCTGCAAGAAAGAGCACATGTTCGAGTGGTGCTGCATTGCCGTGCCACAATGGAACTCGCACTGAATCATTGAACACGGTCTACAGCGAATGACGATGCAACATGCAACACGGTCTGCGCGCAGAACTAAGGCCAACAAGGCCGTCGTCGGCAGTGCGCCTGCACTGACCGTCGAAAAGGATCAGCCGGCGCCTCCCAGGGTCCCAACGCATCGAAGGCAGCGTAATGCTCCCTCAGACTGAAGACACGTACCCTTGGAAAACGCCCAACTCGACCAAACTCCACTACTGAGCTGTGTGGGTGTGCGCCGGGGCACGTCTCGCCCTGGGACTCGCCCAGTTTTGCGGCAATCCGAGCCTGCAGATCCTGAGAAGACCGGACAGATCGATTCGCACAAGGAAAAGGACGGTGCAACAGAAAACAAAGGAGCATTCGTGAAGCTGACATCGGATGGTCCATGGACACGGCACGGCGGATCGCGCGCCTGGCTGGTGTCGCTCGTTTCGGCAGGTTTCTCATCAGACGACGACCTGTCCAGCCAGAAGGCAAGGAAGCTCTAAGACTCTAAGACTCTAAGAGTACTTCCTGCAGATGCGCCAGACACATCGAACAAGCACTCTTGCTTCAACGTTCTGAGGTCCAGGCGCCATCAAAGCGGAAAGATCCCGGCTGGCGGGTTGGACTGATGGGAGGACTGCTACTTGCAGCCTGAATTAGAGACTGAGATGAAGCTGGCCCCGGAAAGATCTGCTGACAACAGAGGCTTTTGTTACTTCCAGTACACACTCGAGCCGAATGCAGTCGAACGCCAGGTGTGGCAAATTACGAAGCACAGGCATGAAGCAGTTAAGTTCGCCCGTCAGGCATGCAGGGCGGGACAAAATCGGGTCGTGAAAGGGAAGCATCGGTTTTCGTTCTCAGCAGGACGGAGGTCACGACTGGACAATCTCCAGTCCTTCGCCCACCAAGCGCAGACGAGCTCATCCGGCTCCAGCAAACTGCAAGACTGCAAGCCGCCCGATACTCGCATCGTGGCGAGCAGGCCAGCCAGCATTGGCAAAACTAGAAACTTACTCGTGCTTGAAACTAAACCAGGACTAACTGGTCCACGGATTCAGGCTCGAACTTGAAGGTGTTGACCTGGACGCCTGCAACAGTGGTGTGATCGGAGAGGTGTGGTTCTTTACCATTGTCAGAGACGCTACCGAGTTCTTGGAGGGCTGAGGGATCTTCAGCAGGGCTTATGGTCATTATTGTCATTATCGTTCTTGCCACGATTGTAGCATGTCAGATGTTATTGGACGTATTGGTCTTCGTAGTAATAGAAATAGAAAAAGCTTCCGTGCCATCAACAGCAGCAGTATGAACCTGATTAGTCTTGAGATTCTTGTCATTCTTGCTATTACTACTATTCTTGATAAATTCAGGCCAAATCTGATTTTTGTGATTATTAAGATTTTTTATGATTGGTATTACTATCGGTATTAGTGGGATTATTGCTATTGGTATTCTTAACCTTTCAATTATTGTTGAGATTATGATCATTACTAATTCTGCTGCGAACATGTTTGTTGACTTCGTTATTCGTGTAACTGACTAAACATTATCATTGTGAGAACTATTTTTACTAATAGTAGTGGCAGTAGCAGTCGTCGTCGTCGTTGTCGTCGAGGTCGTAGTAACACCGTTGCTAGTAGAATTGTTATTGTTTGTTCTTACCCTTACTGTGATCATTTGTACCTTACTGTGATCATTCGTACCGAGTTTTGTGAGGCTTTATTTTTGCATTATGCTTGGTATCCGTATTAGTACTTCTGTCATGTCTAGGTAGTAGTAGTGGTAGTAGCCGCAGCAGCAGCAGTAGCAGTAGCAGTAGCAGCAGCAGCAGCAGCAGCAGCAGCAGCAGTAGTAGTAGTAGCTTGCTGTTCTTAGTGTTGTCTGTGCTATTTTCATTAGTATGCGTCTTCATGCTTCTGTTTAGGGTGCTTCCAGTTCAGGGGCAAGCTTTGGGGCCCAGCCTCCAGCATGATGAAAGCGGAAGGCCGGGTCGTCTAAGTGCGAGATCAGCTTTCCTAGAGGTCAGAGCGCGTTCGTCCGAAAAGTCGGGGAGGAACTAGGCAAGGGATGTATTACCCTAATGATATTGATTCCTACTTGATGGTACGGGTAATTTTCAGGCCGTGAATAGACAGCTCCGACCTTCGATGGTGAAGTTGCGGAAGGTGACATTGGCGATCGTCGCACTACCCTCCACAGCAGTTGCAAAGGCAAATCGGGTTACTTTCCCAGAGATCGTCAGGCCGTCGAACAGCATGTTGCCTAAGAATCCGTTCTCCAGGTGAAGGCTTAGTGGATGCGAAACGTCTCCATCAATCTGTAAGTCTTGCCACACGAATGGGCCTGCCAGCTGCGCTGGGTCTGCAGGATTGGTATCTACCAAGCTCACCACTGCATTGTTTGGCCGCGTGTCGTAGGTCTCCCACACTTCCGGTGCTCGCCACTCGTTTTCAATGACGCTCGCAGTCCGGTGCGTAATGTTGACAAGATGGAGTCCCGCCCAGCCAAACTGGAAAGTTCCGCCGTTGTAGGATTGCCAGAGCACCAAGTTTTCTGTGACAATGTTTCCACCTCTGACCTTGATCAGGTCATCTGTGCTTCGGATGAACGAATCTCGTGCTGATGTGTTAAACTCGAAATGACCGCCGCCATTGTTGGCTGCCCAGCCCATCCCGCGAAACATCGTCATCCTGCTGCCACTGACGACTTTGTCGAACAAGCGAAAGTTTGGATTTACAACCTCAGTTGATCATCTCATGCATCATTGAAGCCCGAACACGGAGACCAGGAAGCCTTGAAGGAGTCGGAGAATTATCGCCGGGAGAAGCTTTCCGAGAAACAAATGCCCCGCTTCGCTCGTTACTCTCTTGAAACCCGCGGTACCCAGATCAAACATCAAGGATGGGCTTGTTTCTTCCGTTGGAACACTGCTCTCAAACAATTGGAAGGCCAAGCGACTGTCAGACCCCAGACGTCGCCGCCGGCTGAACCGGCGAAATTCAGCATCATCCGCGTTTCGTTCCAGAGCTTTCCTGGCACCATTGCTCACTCAACTTCATGCCTGCTGCACGACATTAAATACATCAATGTGCTTGTTGGTTTATCGTGGGTACAACAATGTTACAACAACACGCAATTGTTGAAACCGCATCCTTTGCGCTCGTTGTATCGGAAATGGCGCCCGTCCAGGATGCCGGGTCCGTAGACATGGGTGGTGCGCTGCTTGCACTGCAACGCCAACCTCGGTGGGGCAGGACAACAGAGAGTCATTGGTGTTTAGAGTGTTTTGAACCTAGATGAAGTTGTGTTTCGTCCAGACTACAGGGAAAAGTCCCCGAACACCTCCTTTCTGCAAAGGCAAGGCAAGGGTCATGGCAAGGCAGGAATAAAGTACTAGTATGCGAGATGCAACACACTACGTTTTGCTCTCCTTTCCGGCGTTCCTTGTTTTGGTTGCAGAAAACCCTGACTTGGTTCGCCCATCTCTATTGCCCATGCAGGCGCAGACCGAGAAGCTTGCCATAAACGTACGCGCCGCGCTGCACATGCACCGCAGGCACCTGAAAAGTTCAACCCAGAAAGCATCGTGCAACAGTTGAAGATTGCCAGATTTGGCGGCGCCAGTCACTACCGGAGCATCTATAGCTTACATCCGAACTTACGAGTCCGCCGAGCCTCACATGAAACGTTCATGACTCCTCCCTGTCCCAGGTGGTGTTCACCGGGCGGAATCACCAGAGCAGCCGGGTCCACCTGGAACACCACTCGCTGTGAGCACCGATAGCTGGAGTAGTTACTTCAAGTTATCTTCGATAAACTTGCTAGGGCCGTCGAGATGCAGGTGGCGCCGGCTCGCTGACAAAGACCAGCATCGCATCGTGTGTGCTGGAGTCCAGATTGTATTTACTCGAGTTGGCATTGACAAAGACAGACCCATAGTGAACTGAGATATGCTTGCCACAACCGTTTACGGCGAAAGAAACCGTATGTGCATCATCTGAGAGCTGGAGGTGGATCCCGTAGCGCCTTTCTTCGTCGCAAAACTTCTCGAAACTCATCACAACTAAGCTCACACCCGCTAACCTCAGACTCGCGAATCCCAAAATGATACGTCAGCTCTGCATCCTCAGATAAAGAACTTTAGTCCAGACTGATCTTAGCCCAAGCACTTGGGCCGGATATGAACATCCTTGGGAAAAGGCTTCTTCTTCCTCACCACCTCCACAACGGTCACACCTTCGTTTCCGCGAGGCTGGCCGATGATTTCAGGTCTATCTACGGCGGGGATGGAGATGGAGGAATGTAGTGTTTACCCAGGTGCTCTGGTTGCAGGGCTGTGCAAATTCCACCCAAGAGGTGCTTCGGTCTGCTGGTTCCGGCCCATCCCGACGGTCGCTTGGTACAGAGATGCCGTAGACGTGAGGCTGAACCTCGCAGTTCGCACTTATGGATTTTGGATCAAGCTGACTTAGCTGCTTCGACTTTAAAGTTGAATCGCAAATCGGTTGGTGATTTCAAGGCTCCCCAACTGCGGCCCAGTGCGGTCGAGAGGCAGATCTTCCTGCGTGGTGAAGCGTCACCTGAAACTCCGAGGACCAAGGCCCCGCGGCACCGGCGTAGTACTCAAAGCCGGGTTTTGAGTCTAACTCTGCATGCAGCGCCAAGGAATGAAACGCGACGACCAGCAAGCATCTCATGCATGCCATCTATGAGAGATGGGAGAGGAACGGCACAGGTTCGTCCGCTTACTGGTAAGCTCGAGCCTGAAAACTGACGCACAGTGCCCGTCGCCAGAAGACAGAACCGCGACGACTCATAAACACTCTGACGTCAAACTGCACGGCAACCGTAGTCTCCAGCAGTGCTTCCAAGCACAAAAAGGTGAGGGCTGCGACGGTAGCAGCAACAGAGCAACGAACTGTCGCAAGGAAGCTCTGAAAGAGTGGAAGCTGGGAGGGTGATGCAGCACTGCGGAATGAGGAATCGGCTCTTTCCCCGCCCTTCTGTGGTTTTTGCTCAAGCATTCTCAGAGGCTCCAGAACTCTGTCTGTGCAGCTCGCAGCTGTGCGTCAAGCTGCGCCAGAGAAGAGAAGGCCTCACTGGGTTTTGCTTTGTCTGCTCTTTGCCGCAAAGGGCACCGGATTAGTTTCGGAGACTCTGCAGGCAATGCACGAGACCTGCCTGCCGGGGCTTGACAGCGTCTGGTGCTGTTGCCGGTATCCTGGAACCTGGTGGCAGCCGCTCTAGGCTTCAAGTGCAAGTAAATCCATATGCGCGGTGAATGTCGTAAAGTCCGCAGACCTCCCACAATCGGCTGTGGCGTTGTCTGCACCACTGCCTGCCCGAGACCAGGAGTATCGTCAGCACGAACTTCCCTCTCCAAAAAGCTAACTGAATTGTATTCTGGATGCAAGTCGACGCCTTGCCTGCGGCACAGCTCCGTGAACACGCCGCGTCCTTGGGACAGTCCCAACAAGGATGACTGTGCGGTCATGCTCTCACCAGGAAGATGGGAATCGCCCGGCATGTGTTAAGTCCAACAACCTGTTCGGGGCACCGGATTTGCGCTGATGTACGGGCGATCAGCCAAATTCAGAGCTCCCAGTGATGCCTCCTGTAGTCCATCCCCCCTTTGGAATGATATGCAATCGGAAAACAGCTACGACAATATCCCCTGCCATAATACGGACCATCCAAGATGTCATGTCAGCTGCCTGCCATGTTGTGCCGAGACACACTGGCGAATATCGTCGCTCTAGCTGATTTTCATGCTGCTGCCGTCGCAGCATTTGCCGGCCTTTCCAATCTCGACACATATCGAAGCGACTTTTCGACTATCAGCCACGAGACGTCTTGTGATGATATCAGTACGCATTTCCAAGAACAGCAAACTGCACCGGGCATGCCAAAGCCCTCTTCGAATCTAAACCCTAAACCTCGAGCCACCATCCTGTCTTACAGAGCAGCTTCGATGTATAAAATAATCACAATCGGGAGCCCTACAGTCTACAGAATAGCATTGGTAATTTGTAATTATGCAGACTGCTAGGCCATATTTGGCTGTTTCGCCTCCTGGACCATCTGGACTTGGGCTGCGCGGGCCAAGCAATGCTTGGGCAGCCTCCGGCAAGTCAGAAGACCAGATTTGGGTGGTGGCCAAGCTCAGGTCCCAATGGTAGAACCCTAAACCCTCACCTGAAGCCAATAACATCTTGGACAAGTTCCGAAACTCCACATTGCCTGCGCCGCTTGGCTCTTTGTCGCAGAGGCATCCAAGCCTCCGAGTGAGCACAAGATTGTGCAGTGTGAAAGGTTTGTGAAGCAATGCCATTCAATGGGTCCACGGCCTGCTGCTTCCAAGTCGTTCCAAGCTTGCTGCAGAACCTGGCGACAGGCGACCCCTTGTCGTGATCTACTCTCAAACGCCTGAAGCCTAGGAGACCCTGCAACATGAGGCTCTTTGCCTGCAGCCGGCGCTCGGCTGTTCTCACCCTGGCCAGGGAAGCTCTCTGCAGATTCAGCTTCGCAAGTGGAAAGGCGGCCTCGCGGCTTGCTGCATGACCTCGCTGCATGGCTACAGTTGTGTACGTCGGTTCCAACTCCCTGGCACTTCAAGGACTAAGCAGCACGGCAATGGTGCGGCGCTTCTCTTCGGCGCGCTTTCGGCGATCATCGGCGACATGACGAAGCTCCTGCACCTTGACTTCGACAGCACTCAGCCGACTGCTAAGTCAAACATCTCCAACTCAGAAGCGGAAGGCCTCCTCACGTTTCTTGGCCAATGCTGCCTTGCATATTCTCAGTACGGTATACGTCTACCAGCTACCTCCCTTGACCTCCTGCCTCCAAGTCTGCCACTTCCGCAGCGGCCCCGGAAGAGTCCTCGGAGAAGTTGCAGATGCAGTCGCAGCAGTCGCAGCAGTCTGCAAGCTTGGGCCACGGGTGCAAGGACTGCTCGGCTGTCTTGGCAGTGCACGGCATCGCTTGTCAAGCCGAGCTCTGTTTGAAGACCTGGCATTGCGGCCGGGTCAGCACTGAATTGGTGTTCGCACAGGTTTGCACATAAAGCTGCTTGTGAGATAGACATGAGATATACCATGGTCTTTGACAGTGTGACATGGTTGGACATGCAGCGGCGACCCTCGTGTGGCACAGAGTCGGAATTACTTCTGGCCTCAGGCTTGTCTCACCCCTTTCGTGCCTTCCACCATCGACTCCACGCGGCTTTGCAGTGTATGGCTCATCGATCGCAGATCCTCGGCTCACACACAGGCGTATTTCTCATGATCTAAAGGCCGAGCTCGACACAGTGCCGTGACATGAGCACGTTGACACCAGCACCAGCTTCCAGTAGCCCCGGCTAGCTACGTGGAGGTCGAGCGCGCTCGACCGGATCAACTTCGGGAGACAAGTTGCCTTCTGATCCTGCAGCGCCATGCAAAACAAGCGAGCCTCGGACAGGGGCAGTCTTCGAAAGAAGCTGGCACATGAATGCCTACGTCGTGGCCTACGTGCTCTGCATCTGCACGTCCGGATGTCTGTCTCTCGCGACTGGCAGTTTGTACGGTGCCATGGAGCTGTGGAGCCCCCAAGGCTTTGGATGGATCGGCGTAGGGCGTCGTTGCCCTCGTTCAGGGATGCAGGATGCAGCAGTCACTTAAGATCTGAATGTATGATCGCCTGTGCCGGCTCTGCATACGACGACTGTCAAGACATCGCCCTCACTTGCATCTTGTGTTGTGGCTCAGATCAGCGAAACGAAGCAGGAAACAGAAATTCATCAAATCCGATGCTTTTTTCACTCGGGTCTTGTTCCAGTGTACATGCTGTCACGAGCACCTCCTCCGTGCTCTCATCAAATGATGCAGCGTCGCCGTAGACCCCTGCACGGCCCAGCAGTGTCAGACTGGAAGTGACAGGGCCCGCGGAGTCAAGGAGCTTTAGGCGCATGAATCGCTTGCGGCTGACGTTTAGGCCCGCGATCACTTCACTCACTCCCTCCTCCTGGCACAGCATCGCTTTCGCGCCACGATCGCATCCGTCTGCTGTCGTTTCAGCACTATCGCACAGGAGAAGCCGAAACAGTGCCCCCATACCATCCTGCACCGAAGTGCCATGGAACGCCCCTTTGATTCGGTGTCCCAAGCTGCACCCACACAAGAGGCACGCAGGCACGAAATTTCCTAACGGAACAATGACCATCACAACCAGAAATGTGTCGTGAATCCTGCATCCAGCGCGCTGGCATGGATGAGCAGGCAGCTGAGTTGATGATGCACCTGAACGGGAGAAACAGCAGCAAAAAGCCAAGGGAACGCATGCCGGGCAGTATGGGACTTCGACCTGACATGGCACAATTTCAGATGGAGCAAAGCCAATGGGTTGTGGACCAGGACGCATGTCCTCATTTGCTCCAGCAAGCGGGCGATGCGATCGCCTCGGCAGTCGCAGGAGACCCCAGCGAAACACCCTAACAGCTGAACTGAAAACCAGCCGGAGAGGCCTGTCGGAGAGTGTGGTGTGGTCGTGCAGGCATCCATGTCCTCTAAACAAGAATCCGCGAGCGCGAAGTGCTGTGACACGATCTACTCAAATCCAATCAAACTCTGTTTTGGCCTCCATGATGTTCCGAATTCCGGCATCCATTGCCGCAAACAGGCTGTCAGACGAAGACTGAGCAAGTCCCACATGCATTCTCAGATCTTGTAAGTATAGGAGAAGTAGCGTTTGCTTGCGCATGGACATACAGGATGCTTAGAAGCTGCTGCCAGGAATTCCCATGCAGCAACGAATGCAGAACCTGGATTTACATATTGTCGAAAATGCATTGAAGCCTGGCAGCCCAGAGTGCTGCAGAAAGGACGCATCTTAAAAGGCTGGGAGAAACCTGCGTAGTTGATGTTGTGCCCGCAAAGAGGTGTCAACCTGCGACATCCAACTTCAGGCAGCCTGAGATGCAGACTGCTCTTTCCCCGCGTTTGCATACGTTTCAGCTTTACGGCATTTGCAATTCAGGGCCAGCAGCGGACTTCGCGCGGCATCGGCAGCTCAGAGCCTCCGAGCCACCCGCGACGATGCAGTGACCAAGACCGCTGCATTGCCACACTCAATGCAGTCTCAAAGGCAGCAAGACAGATCCACGAGTGCTGTACAAACAGGGAGACAAAGTCGCAGACAGACGCGGCCAATCGAACAGACCCAGGCGACGGAGGAAAAGACCATGGCAAACTACGGCACACAGTCCAGGGTCAAGCACCAAGTCCCAAACGCAGATCAACGCCGGGGAACTTGCCAGACCTCAGGAGTCTAGTGTCAAACAAGATGCCGAATTTCATGGCTACGAAGCTTCGCAAAGGCCCTGGTTGTCTGGAGTGGACGGCTTTTCTGCGGTGTGTGATCAGACTACCGACTCAGCTCCGACATCCTTGCAGGACCTTTTCAAGGTCACCTGTTCAGGAAACTAGAGCTGCTTTGCAAGCAAGGATTTCACCCGTTCCATGCCCAGCTGTGGCAGCAGCATGTGTCAGGGGCAAATTCGCCCTTTGACGTTTGCTGGTCACTGGGTCCGTCTACATCGTCCACGTGCGTTTGCACTCAGCGACCAGCGGCAGTTTTTGGCTGCTTCAGCTTACTTTGCCTTTCGATCCAACGGTTCGCGCAGGCCCATCAGCCCAGACTCATTTGCCTTCCCGGCTTTGGGTGCAAATCACATTCAAGTCAGAGATACTGCAGGCTTTCGGATGCTGTTGTAGAGGCTCTCCGCTAGGCAGTTTCCATCAAGACTCCCTATGAAGTGCATCGAACGTCCACAGTCATTAAACCGAAAACACGACCAACAGAACCGTGTACAATATCAACATGACATGCACCTGCTACATCACAGCTTGATGCTGTCTTCTCCTCTAGGGCTAATTTTGAGTGCAACCTGCAAAGAAAACCACCGCCAACATGCACGGCCTGAAGCTCGAGCCGCAGCGGAAATTCTTGCCTTCGGGAAAGACAGCTTTGGGCAAGCTTGCTGTGATTACTTGAGGCCCATCTGCCTTCCTACCACCACTATCACTACCACCACGACCAGTACCACCCTACTACTGCCAGCACCACTACCAGTACCAGTACCAGTGCCAGTGCCAGTGCCAGTGCCGCTACCGCAACCGCTACCACTACTACTATTACGACTACTCTTACGACTACCATTACGACTACCATTACGACGACTACTACTACTACTACTACTACTACTACTACTCCTACTACTACTACTACTACTACTACTACTACTACTACTACTACTACCACTCCTACTACACTTCTTGTTACGACTCTTTTGACTGTAACTACCTTCGCCATTGTCATCAATACCAGTGCTGCTGGCGCTCCTCGTCCTAATCCTGCTCGACTGATGCTGCGACTGCCCTGGCATCCTTACTGCTGCCACTGCCGCTGGGCCCTGCTACTCGCCACTGACTCTGTCACAAAATACTAATTTCCAGTCTTGCCATCGTAGTGCCACTGCTACTTCTGGAGTTGCTGTTTCTACAACTGCCATGCTACTGCAACTGGTAGATGTCTATCCGCGACTACCGGTATTCAGTGCCCTTGTGTGGGACGCAGCGATCCTCACGGGAACGGTGACGCCGAGGTCCAGAGGCGGCGGATTGAAGCGGTGCATGTTAAAGAGATGGACAATCGGCAAGTGATCTCGCCTCGGGCAGGCAACCACCACAGGCACGCTCACGATTATGGGCGTAGGCATCGCATCATCATCATCATCATCATCATCATCATCATCAGCATCAGCATCAGCATCAACATCATCATCGCAACATCACGATCAACCTGGCACGAATCGTAGACGTGATAAACCATGGCTTTCATGATGGTCATAAGATTGAATGCGACACTGGTACTGTAATGGTAGTTGTAAAGCGGACAAAAGGCAGACAACAATGACGAAGATCGTAACAATAGTGGCCATGCTAGCGACCGTCAAGAACAAATAGAAAAGGCAATATTCAATATTACATGGAGCAACCGTTGAAAGTATAAGGACGACGACGGCGACAGCAAGAGCAATGATCGTTGTGAGTACAATAAACAAACAAGACAAAAATCAGTGCAGCAATAGCGACACGATAATTAACCACAAGACTAGAAATACATGTTATGATGTCCAGGACGGTGGAGCAGATGTAGAAGCATGGAGGCAAACGTAAAGGTCTGCCTCGGTGCACTTGCCGGCAGGGCCAGCGAGCTGGGCTACTCATTGCTTGCTGTTTGCCAGGGTTGCCACTGAATTGCCACATCGAGCGGATGAGGGCGAACATGGCCCTTGTCCTTCACAGCTCGTGGAGCACAGTTGCTGGAGCTGGGAATTGCTCGAGATGGGTCGGAGCCGGTCTGACAGACCATGACAGACCCTGTTCCATGAGCAATGAACAATCCCGAAACCTGTGGAGAAACAACCGTCTCCTCCACGTTGATTGCACTGATCATGCCATCCTGCTGAGGTCGCAGGCGCTGGAATGGATCAGCCTCAACATTATTAATGGAACTTATGAAGTCCACGGGACGCGATCTCATGGGGCATCAGGCTCTGCACTCCAGTGATGAGCCAGCTTCAACGCTCCGATGTGCAACCAGGAGGCTCGAAAGCTTAGAAGAAGCTGACAGAGAAGAACGTCGCCCATCTGCAGCGCACATGTTCGATCAGAAATAGAACTTGCACAAAACGAGCCTGTCAAGCATCCCCATAGGATTGAATAGCGGCCATAGGTCCCACAAATCCTAAAGAGCAGGGTAAAGTGCTGAGCCTCAGCTGCCAGAAACAACGCAGTGCCTGAGCAAATGATGACAGACTGGGAGTTGTATCACCAGGGATGCCTACTACGCTACACTTCCATCAGGTCTAGCTGGGAAGCATGCGATGCTGCCGCGGTGACAGTGCCGCTCCCGGCCTTAAAAGCTAAAAGCAGACTTGTGGCCGAGGATCTCACGTGGTTCATGGGCCGTAGGCATGATGCGAGCACAACCCACCGGAAGGATATTAGCAGAAAATGGCGAAGTAAGGATCGGGCGGAAAGCCCGCGTGGAGCATCATCCTGAAAAGGGGGGTTGTGCCGACAGCATTCCTCGCAAAAAAATCTTCCAAGATCTCGAACAACCCTGTTAACCAGGCTGCTTGCCAAGGTGCTTCACACTGTCGTAGTCCCTTGCGCACAGCTTCTGCCGGAAGTGCGCTGTGGCTTTGGGGTTGTCCTCACGAGGGGCTGTGGATGCTCTGAGGTTGGACCGCATTCCAAGCTGCAGGTCATGAGTTCGGCTTCTTAGACTCTGCGAGCTTGTCTGTGCATTCAAACACAGCGGTCCCTTCCGGGCAAAAAGAGCTGCAATCTGACAGGTGGCAAGGACTGGTCCTTGACTTGGATCAATGAAGGTAAGAACAAGTTTGCAACGTCCCAACCTCAGCTTGCAGGAACTTCAGAAAAAGACCTCGTGCCCTGGTGCTCTGAGCATTCGGCGGCCTGGGATGTAAACTCGGCCAAACTGTGCCTCTTCGGGCACGGGCCCCTGAAGCAGCCGTCTCACAAGCACTCCACTCCTGTATCTAGCGGCTTGAATAATTGGCATTATACCGGATATTAAACCGGAACTTTATAAGGATGAAACGGGAATAGTACTGCTCGTTCACAGGATGTCAACGAAGAGGCAACGGAGGGCATGCGCTGTGGTCATCAGCAGCCCACCTCCGCTTTAGCGGCATCCCCAGCACCTTTGCATGGCTTCGCTGTGTTATACCAGACCAGGCCCGAGCATCCTTGAAATTACAACACTTCACTAGACGCTGCTACTACTACTACTACTAC